CTATAAATTATAATAAATCCTACAAATCCTACAAATCCTGCTCTGCCCTTCAGGATATGCTCTTTGTCCTGGCTTTGCCCTCCCCCGTTCTTCCTGGCTATCCTCTCTGTGGAGACTCTCTGTCCTGCACGGTTGACCCAAAGGCCCTTTTTCCAGGGGGCCAAATTTGCTTTCGCTTCTCTGATCCTCTGAAGCGGCTTCTCGGACGAGAGGAGGAAACGCCTCCCAGGGAAGAGAAAGAAAATTTGGGCCCCTGGAAAAAGCACTTCTGGGACGTCCCCCTTGGGTCGCCCAGAGGCCGGCTAAGAACTGGCCACGTTCAGCCTGCGATCACCAAAACCGCCCTCTGTCCACTCAAGCACGCATCCAGGGGGGCTGAAGCAGTTTAGGGGGTCCCAGGTGAAAGGGGGTGGGGCAGGGGAAGGGACTCCTGGGGGGGGACTCGGTCCCACTGTGTAAAGAGCCCCCGAGCTTCTAGACCCCACAGAGTTATCTGCTCAACTGTTGTGCAACAAAACAAAGGCCAGCTTCCTCCTCCGTGGCGGCTCTGCTTGTCCCGGCTGGAATGAAAGCAGCGGGAACTCTAGGCAGGACAGCGGGAAGCTTTCAAAGACGGCAGGCGACTGTCCGGCAGGGCCTGGGCAGCTGGGTGGGGGAGCCGCCTGCAGGAAACCCAACTCTGCCGTCCGTCAGGTTTCCTAAAAATGCTGGAAGGGATCCTGGAGGTCACCTGGCCTGACTCCGTGTCCAGTCAAGCGCTTGATCCACCTTTCTGGTGGAGGACGGTCCGGCCTCAGTCCAGCGGCCTTTGGCGGGGAAGCAGCCAAACAAGGGTTCACAGAGCAGCTGGCAGCATCTTCCAGCCAGGATGGCCCCTCTGACGCCTGGCCTGGAGCAGCTTCTTTGCGCCTTTCAGCCCCTGGCTGGACCCCAGGATGGGACCCTGCCCCCCCCCAGGCACAGAGGGGCTGTGTCTGCCCACCTTCCCCACCCGAGTCCTCCTTCCGCCTCTCCTTCACCCCCAAGGACCCCCGACAGACAACGCGACAGAAACACCAGTCAGCTGAATCTTTATTGAGCTCTGCTCCTCCACTTCTCTGTGCAGTGAAATGGGCCCCTTCCCCGCCGCTCCCCCCCCTAGCTAGGCAGAGGGAGAGGGTCTCATCAGGAGCAGCAGGCGGCGTGGCCAAGAGCGCCCAAGGGCAGGGCCCTCCCTGACAATGCGGGTGCCAGGCTCTTCCAAACTCACTCAGGCGCTGCCCTCCCAGAAGGCAAAGTGCGAACAGAGCCCAGCCCAAGGAGGGGCCAGGCAGGACACCCCCTCCCCCGAGCACTGGATGCTGTGGGGACATCCTGGTTCTCTTACGGGCTGCCCACCCCGAAGGCTCTGCCGCCGTCCCAGAACCTGGCCTGGTATGGAGATAGGCAAGAACTGAGCCTTTTCTTCCCCTTGGGCACCCCATAATTTCCACCCAGCGGAGCCCCAAGTGGCCGACTGGCCCAAGTGGTGGGAACTGCTTCGCCCCATTTGCTTGGGCAGGAAGAGCTTCTCCCCCCCAACTCCTTTGGATTACCCCACCTGGAGGGAGTCAGGTTTAAGGGCCCCAGAGAGCCCAGGGACACAGCAGGTCTCCGGCTGGCTCGCTTTCCACCCGCTGGAGAAGGGATGCCCCAGGGACCGCCCTCCCTCCCTCCCTCCCTCCCTCTCCTTCCTCCCCAGCAGGCGCTCAAAGACGACCCAGCCAGAGTCAGCAGCTGAACTCACACGAGGCCACAGGTGGAAGCGGGTGGTGCGTGATCCGGCCCATTGTGCGAACAAGGCCATCCTCTTAACCCGTAATGGTGGTTCTTTTTTGCATAGAGGTTGTGCGCTTGCAGGCACTGTGTGGTGCGCAAGGTTCATGCTTAGCCTATGCGCAGGAAGCCAGCCAGGGCCTGGTTGCCTCTTTGTACTGGCCGCTGGGGGTCACCGGCCCCCTTTCCTGGGGAGGCTCTCAGTTGCTCTGAGGAAAACCAGCCCCCCACTGACATGGAGCAGGTGATGCCTCAGACACCACTCTGGCACTTCTGCCCCCCTTTCCAACGCTGGGGCGGGTCTTGGGGTGGGCACCGGGGGTCCTAAAGTGGACCCCCTCAGCATTCCGAGCCTTGAATGCCAAAACCCTCCGCGCCAAGGACCACGCCTCTTGCCGACCAGCCAGACCTGCCTTGTCCTGGTGCCTGCAGAGATTGCCCTGCCCCAGATCAAAGAGGAGTTTCCTGCTTGTACTGATAGCCGCAAGTGGGGCCCTCGAACTGCAGCTTGATGGCTGCCTTCCGGTGCAGGTGGGGGGCCAGCGTGTCAAGGGAGATCAGCCCCCCCCGGAGTCCCTTGCTAGCCTTGTCCTGAGCTGGAGCCGGCGGAAGGGCCAAGGGGCGTGGTTGGGGCCGATAGGGTGGGGGGTCCCGGGGCATCTGCTGTGCCCTAGAGACTGGGCCCAGGGGAACTACTTGGGGGGAGTGGAAAGGGGACGTTGGGGCTGAAGAGCCGCAGGAGGCCTGCGTATCATCGGTGGGACCCAGCCAGGCCACAGGAGAGTTGCCCTGGGGGACAAGGCTGCTGGCCGAACTGCTGGAAGAGCCCAGCTGGGGAGATATTGGCCCTGGCCAGGCCCTGGAACCTTTCATCAGCCTCAGCACGGCCTGCTGGCCCCGCTTGGCTGCCAGCCACCTTGGGGTGCGGCCTGCCTTGTCCCGGACATCGGGACTGGCACCGTGCTCCAGCAAAACCCTCACCACCTCAGCCCAGCCTTCCT